AGTTGCTCACAGAATCACAGATTCATTCAGAGATCTATCTATCTGCCATCGGCTAGCTCAATCTATCACATAAAATTTGCTTGCAAGCAAACTCATAAAATTAACTGACAACACACCATGTATGTAAATATTGAATTTTTTATAAAAAAGAGCAACTTTTACCCAAAATCATGCAAAGCAGGCAGGCAGATTGAGTTGCTCCCAGAATCATTCAGTGATCTATCTAACTGCCATCAGCTAGCTCAGTCTGTCACATAAAATTTGCTTGCTGTGAGTCTGCACTGAATAATAGAACCTTCAGTCCTAAGGGAGGTTCAGCTGTACTTAAAAGCAGAGCCGAAGATCTAAAGATGAGCTAGAAAGTAAGAAATCCAACCATTTCCTGCTTTCTAACTAATCTAAATCTCCCAGCACAGCAGAACAGCTGATGGTCAGAAAAAATAGCAATTTAGCAGGCAAGTTTTCCGGGTAAGGAGTGAGTGTGGGGTGGGTTCCCGTGGGCCATGTGGGCGGCACAGCCTTGTGTTCCTGCGCAGCCTGGATTAATTGCTTTGGGGGATGCTCTGGTGGTGAGATTTCTCTGCAGCCCACCAAAATTTTCTTGCAGCCCACCAGTGGGCTGCGGCCCACTGGTTGGCAATTGCTGGTCTAGACAGTCTTTCTCTGCCCAACTCATCTCACAGGGTTGTTTTTGTGGGGAAAATAGGAAAATATATCCCTTTGGGGTATACTTCCCTCACTGTTTTTGAAAGCTTCTAGTGATGGAGCAGAGAAATGTCACCCCCAAAGCACTCCCCAAAGCAATTAATCCAGGCTGTGCAGGAACACAAGGCTGCGCCGCCCACATGGCCCGTGGGAACACAAGGCTTGCATCACTTGCATTGCAAACAACACAAGGTAGTGAGGAGAGGGGGGGGAAAGAGGAGAGGGGGGGAAACTTGCTCCACTCATCCCATGCATCTTGCCTGGCCACCACTGGCTGCTTCTTTCCGCTTCTTTCTTCTTCTGCTTTTGGCTGCATGAAAGGAAAGCAGCAAAAGTCTTTCTTTCTTTCCCCCAAACTCTGCTAGAAATGAGTCTTTGGGACCCTGCAAGGCATCCTGCTCCAAGACTCAAAACAGTCATTCCCCCTTTTTTAAAAAGCAAATGCAGCAGCTGAGAGGGAAACTAAGAGCCTGGGTGTGCTGCCAAAAGCCATTAACCCTTCCAATCTATTATTCTACATTCTTGATGTTCTAAATTGGGTGCAAGAGGCTGCATTGGTGTGACAAGTCTCACAAGACTCATTTCTGGTGGAGTTTGGGGGAGAGAGAAAGAAAGACTTCTGCTGCTTCTGCTGCTTTCCTTGCATGAAGCCAAAAGTCTCTCTCTCTCTCCCTGAGAACAGAGCTTGGAGACGGTATCCTGCAATCCCAAATAAAGAATGACCAATTGATAGGAAAACGTGGTGAGAAATTTACCTGCAGACTTTTGGGGGGATTTTCCTAGGGTCTCTGCTCCACGGGATTTAAGATTATGAGTTTGGTGGTCCCTGAGGTCCAAAAGTTTGGTGAATCCTGGTCTGGATTGAATGCCTGACTGGCATTACTGATGAAAAATTGGAATTAATACAGCAATTTCTCAAGTCAGTTTCAAGTTCAGCACAGGAGGCATGCATATTCATACTATTATGTAGAAATGTCTTTAGGTTTATTTACCGATATAGCATAGCCCTTTGAAACAACTTACCCCAGATGTGAGGTTGGCTCCCACCCTTCTATCCTTCCACAGGAGCCTGAAGAGAGGGCTTGGGGCCATAACAGAGGAGCATCAATTGGAGGTGATAGCTGAATTAAGAGGCAATCCCACCTACCCCCTCCACTCATCCTGTTCCCTCCCTCCCCATCTTTTGACTATATTTTATCTTAATTGGTATTTCTATTTTGATTCTTTTACAATATTTATGTTAGGATTTTAATGTTTTAATGCTGGAAGTTGCCCAGAGATGGGCGGCAAATAAATTCATTCAATCAATCAATCAATAGCCATTGCCTTTTTTTTTTTTGCTTTCTTGCTTTTGACATGTATTCTTACGTAGCCTGTATTAAAGCCTACTGTTTTAACTTAATAGCATGTTAAGTTGTATGTTATATGCATTTCTCAAGGATCAGTCATGTTTTTAGACTTTGCAATCAATTGGTCAGGGTGCACTTGAATGCAGATGACCTTCTTCATCTATTATCTGAAATACCCACTGTTTTCTTGAGAAAGGAAAAAAGAGGACAATGTGTAGGGTCATCTTCCATTTTGATAGGAATGCTGACATTGATTGATAGAATGGCCATTACCCGTGGAAAAAATTGATACAAAACTTTAGAACTAGTGATTCAATTTGACAATACAACTTTCGGGGGGGGGGGATAATTCTCTAAATGTTATTCAGTTGCAACTAACCTGCAATTAAAAGATTAAATCACAACAAAGCAAGAAAGTTAATTATTGGTACTTGGTGTTTGTATCTAAAAGATATATTGAAGTCCATCAGGGAACATGTCCCAGATGGTCTCTAAAGACATATAAGATCTTTTTGCCTACTTACAGAGTCTGTAAGAAAGAAAACTCCATCAACATCAGGTATGTTTGTTAACTCAGGGAAGGATTTTTAATACATGTACTGGTTCTAAAGACAGACTTTCATATTTTGCCTTTACAATTTTCATATGTATAAGCCATAGCAATTTATGTGGATTTCATATATTGACAAGGTTCTAATTCACATTGTTCTCAGAATAACTTGATTACTAAAGTTATAAATATATGTGTCTATAATATAAACTATGGTATATATTATGATATATATGGTGTAGCCTAGTTCAGTATAATATAGTATTTCAGTATTATTATTTTTATAAATAAGATGATAAGATAAGATATAAGATAAAAATGCGAACATATTTAATGCTCCTTTCTATTTATCCCCACAATACAATCTGCCCATTTTTTTCCTAAAAAGATGCAATAGCTATAAATAGCAATTGTTTATAATTATTTAATTATAATATAGATTGGTAAAAATACAAGAGATACCAAACTGATCTGCCATTGATCTTAGCACAATATACCAATGTTCCACTTTTTAACCCTTGCCTTAAACATTCATTTTTAAGATATTACTTAATGATTAAATCAGTAGTTCTCAAGTTCGTTTGTCACAACACCACAAATAAAACTAATGATTTGATTAATGTCAAGGTTGGGAAGAACTAAATACAGAACTTACTTTTAAGAACTGAATTTTAATCTGTATATCACAGATACTGTCCACAATGTGCATTTGTGATTCTGCAAAGTTTGAGAATCCTGGATTGAACCATTAAGATCAAGATTTCTTCTGAACTCATGTTAAGATATTAAAACAACAGTGTTGAATATTAACAGATGTATTCTGCTATACTGTGCGAAAAAGGATGATTTTCTAGTAATATAAGAGAGAGAAAAAAAGATAATCAACTGCAATGACCCCTTCAACAAAGAGTGCCATAATGAAGGGGGGTTGTACAGGACCCTATGTTAGAAAGATAAAGTGAAGTGTGTGCTGCAGTGAAACATTGTGTATGGTTCTCTTCTATGCTATGGTGTGTCCAGTCATTTGAAAGCAAGGAAGTTTCACAGTTGCAGTGGTCTTGTGTTTTTCATTTTATCTTTCACAAATTGGGGGGGGGGGCAAGGAGACACCTTCTCCCCTGCCCCCCAAATGGTAACAAGTTAACCCCACTTTCTAACTGGATAGTTTTCTCTGGCATCTGTTTAGAATTGCTAAACTATCATGAGATAGATCATGAGATAGTTTAGCATCTCAGCCAGTTAGTCCATTGTTCTTACTTTTTAAGCAGGAGATGTAGACAGCTCCCCCTTTCTGCCCTTAATCATTTACAATTGTCTAACCAGTTCTGCTACTTTTGGATGCTGCCTCACCAGTGAAAACTGACCTACCAATATTTTACTACATAGGTTGCTAAAACCTCTTATTTGCCTCTGGATTTGAGAGAGAATAAAGGACTTCAAATAAGAGGTTTTAGTAATCTGTATATTAAAATATTTGTGGGCTACTTTTATAGGAAAGAATTAATATATAGAGAACTACATCAGATGAGAAGTTATTGCACTCAACTTAGATGTTTTCAGATGAAATTTGGATCCATATTTGGAACCATATAAATATCAGTAGCACTTTCAACATATTCAGAAGATACTCTGGAATCAGAAGGATAGCAATGACATTCAATGAAAATAGCTTTTAAAACACATCATCTACAAAATATGACAGTCAAATGCATTAAACAAGAAATATGAAAGTGCTTGGAATCTACCAGTACCCTGAACGCAGGTGATTTTATTTTATTTTATTTTTTTTAATTCAGAGGCTTCTCAAGAAAAAAGGGGAAAGAAGGTTTTTCAGCAACTCAAAATTTATATAATATTTTTAACATATCCCATCATAGATTTTTATAAAAATAGTCACACAACTAGCACACAGCATTAATATGAATTCTCACATACAATGCCTCAGCAAATGAAATAAACATTAAATAGCTGTGCACACTGCTCTGCCTTGTATTTTTGTTTAATGCAAATGTAATGATCATTTAGATCAAACATGTCCAATATTTAGCTTGCCTGGGTTGCATTTAGTGAAGAGAAATTGTCTTGTGCCACATATAAAATGTAAAATGTAGTTTATGTATATAAATAACAAACCTCCTTGATTTGGGGTTTTTTGTAGGGATGCATTACTAGCTGTCCAGGACCACATGCGGTCCCTGGGCCATGGGTTAGACATGTCTGATTTAGATAAATACAGTGGAAATATGATCCTGCTCCTCATTGTTATTTTTGTAGAGAAGCCAAGATAGATGGAACTCTAAAGAAAGCCAATCTTCTTTCCTTCCTTTGATAGATTAAAAAAAAAGACATTTCATATTCAGCTAATATTCTGAACCCAGCACCCATTGTGAAAGATCATGGATAAAGGAAATGATTCTGTCATTACTGAATTCATTCTTCAGGGATTCACAGACAATCCCAAAATGCAACTTGTACTTTTTTTTATCTTCCTCTTAATTTATCTCATTGCTGTGTTAGGGAATATTGGGATGATTCTACTGATATGCACTAACACTCAACTTCACAAACCCATGTATTACTTCCTGGGCAACCTCTCCTTTGTTGATCTCTGTTGTTCCTCAACTGTTGCTCCTAGAATGCTGATTGATTTATTAAGTGAAACTAAAATAATTTCCTACAATGCCTGTGCTACTCAGCTCTTTTTCTATGTGTTTTTTGTAGACGTAGAGTGTGTTTTGTTGGCTGTGATGGCCTATGACAGGTATGTGGCCATCTGTAATCCACTACTCTATTCAGCGATAATGTCCAAAACTCTCTGCCAACAATTGATTACTTTTGCATATTGCATAGGCTTAATGGATACAATAGTATACACTTCCTCTACATTCCTACTCACATTCTGCAGGTCAAATCTTATTAATCATTTCTTTTGTGATATGCCTCCACTGTTTGTACTCTCCTGTTCTGACACCTCTGTTAATGAGCTTGTGCTGCTTATCATCGATGGATTCATTGAAGCATGCAGCATTTGTATGAGTCTTATATCCTATGTTTATATTGTGGTTACAATCCTAAGAATGAACTCCGCTGAGGGCAGGCGCAAGGCATTTTCCACCTGTGCTTCTCACCTGACAGCTGTTGGGATATTCCATGGGACCATTGTCTTCATGTACATCCGGCCCACCTCCAGCTATTCCATGGACCAAGATAAATGGGCCTCTATGTTCTACACAGTTGTGATCCCCATGCTCAACCCTTTGATCTACAGCCTGAGGAACAAGGAGGTGAAAGATGCTCTGGTAAAATCAGTGGGCATCGTATGGACTTTTAAAAGCAAGAAACCCAAATAAATCTAAGGGACAATTTCATTCAGAATTAACCTCTGACCCTTCTAAAGAGAAATGACATCACTCGGTAAAAGCAATACATTGTACCGTAATGTTCTGTTATTTTTTATACATTGGAATATTATTTCAATAACAATCACATCTTATTTAACATAGTAGACTTAACTAACAATAGTCTCAATCCTGCTGAAATTGTTTCAATTTAATCAGATAAACTTTGACTGCCAGCTCTTAGCCACTTCCCAGGCTCTTCAGCCACAAACAATGATAGTATAGCAAGAGTCCAGAAAATGAGAGTCCCTAGTTTCATAAAGCAAGATGGTTAATAAATTAAAAGTTGTTACTAGTTCTGAATTTGACATGTTGCAAGTATTTAACATGTAATAAACCAAATATTTCAGTCAGATTTTATATTTAACCATACTTTTCACCTTTATGTTTAAAATACCCAAATTCTTTCTGTGGAAAAAAAACACTATACGCTCAGTTAGCCTTGTTCAGTCTATGGCAATATTGATTAGAAGGCATTGGAATATATGGAGGGATAATGATCCAAAGAGTTGTATTAAACATATCCAGTCAAAATACATAAAATAAAATATTTTTTAAAATCTGAGTTTCTCCCCCTTAATGTAGGATACCTTTTTGTAATTCACAAAGCATAAAAAATCCTGAGCTGGAATAATGAACTGATTTCTGTAAAATCCCTATAGAATTCTACAAGTTGCAACAGTTGGTAGGGCTGTATTAAAAACTGAGATACAAATAGTAAAAACAAATTAAATATTCAAAGCAACAAAACGATTGGAACATTTTACATAGGAAAAAAAATCAAAGAGACAGGACCACAAAAGCGTTTTTGGAACCTTGGCAGAAAAACAATTTTCACTCTTTTTCATAACACCAAAACTGATTCAGAAGAGCTTTTAGACAGATCAATGAAGCTACTCCTATAAATTATATAATTAATTTCCATCAAAAGTACTGAAGATTATATCAATTAATAGAGGATAGGACTGAGAACAGTTAGTTGAGAACTTTAGCCACCACCACCCTCCCAATATAAGCCTCAACATCTTCTGGTCAAGACCTTAAATACATTTTTTTTCCTTATGCTACATATAATCTCCTTATCGGCTTCTGTTTGACTGCATTGAAAAGTTACAGATATTTGAACTTCTCATGGTCTCATTTTGAACAGTCTTTGTTATGTGTGCTTTATTCATATCTCCACTAGAGCTGGGTAGCCAATAAATTTAAATAAAATAATTAATGAATTAGAAATGAATCTCTTACCAGAATTATTACAGATCTCTTCATTGTTTCACTTCAGAACCTCCTACATCTTCTGGGAGCTCCATTTAGAAGAAGCCAGCAGTCCTGACCAGTGATCTTAGGCAAGAATAGAGTTTCAAAATAGCCAGTAAAAATGACATTCAGAGTTAAGCCACAATGGCCATGACAAGGCACATCATGGAGATGTTAACAAGAGAGAAATACATTATAGAAACATTGGGAATAGATTTGGGAAGACACTTGCCACACTTCCATTCAAAAGTGGCAGTGCTAATGAGCTCATAGTTTGGTTCCCATAATGGCCAACAATACTACTATCTTTAGTATATGGGTGGCCATCATCATCATAATTATATTTCTATAACTTAAATTGATGCGACATGGTCAATAAAACTATGTTAATATATTGTTAACTGGCCTCTTCATTTAGGATGCAATCTGTCCTAATGTTACCTTGACAATGTTACCTTGAGAAACACCTGTAATCCATAGTGCAAATTGGAGTTGTAATTTCATGCATGATATTCCCAATTGTTCAGGAATTCTAATTTAAAAGAAATGCTAACTAAAACTCCCAAAATATTTCTAATTTCTCTTATGTAGAGCAGGGGTGTCAAACTCAATTTCATTGAGGGCCGCATTAGGATTTTGTTTGATCTTGGGGGGTCAGGGGGGGCATGGTTGGGATGAGAATGGTCAGCTTGATGTCACTTATGTCAGGGGCCCCTGTGGTGGCCCAAACACTCTGCCAGCAAAAATGGCCCTCCCAAGCTCCTTTTTCTTCTTCTTTTTTTAAATTTAATTTTCTATTTTTATTAAATATAGAAAGAGCAAAAATTTCAGTGTCTATTTCACCAGTGTGATGTCTGGGTAAAATTAATTTGAGCAAGCTCCATTTTCATTGGCAGAGGGTTGCAGGAAGCCATCACAGCTGAAAATGGAGCTTGGGAGGCCACTTGCAGCCCTCCCAAACTCTATTTTTGCTGGCAGAGGCAGATTTTTGCTGGCAGAGGTCTGGTCCTTCACTGTTTCCAGGGCAGCCATGTGATCCAGATCTAAGCACCCTGCAGGCTGCATCCAGCCCTTGGGCCTTTAGTTTCATTACATAGTTGAATGTGCTGACAACAAAATCACACAAAAATTATCAATGGAAATCAAATTTAGCAACCCATGGGTCTGGATTTGGAGTTACACTCAAAATTAAAGTGGAAAAATACATTACAGGCTGATCCAACTTTGATGTAATGTCCTTAAAACAAGTCAAAATGAGGCTCAGTAGTGTGTGTGGCCTCCATGTGCCTGTATGACCTCCCTACAATGCCTGGGCATGCTCCTGATGAGGTGGCAGATGGTCTCCTGAGGGATCTCCTCCCACACCTGGACTAAAGCATCCCCCAACTCCTGGACAGTCTGTGGTGCAATGTGGCATTGGTGGATGGAGCGAGACATGATGTCCCAGATGTGCTCAATTGGATTCAGGTCTGGGGAATGGGTGGGCCAGTCCATAGCATCAATGCCTTCGTCTTGCAGGAACTGCTGACACACTCCAGCCACATGAGGTCTAGCATTGTCTTGCATTAGGAGGAACCCAGGGCCAACTGCACCAGCATATGGTCTCACAAGGGGTCTGAGGATCTCATCTTGGTACCTAATGGCAGTCAGGCTACCTCTGGCGAGCATGTGGAGGGCTGTGTGGCCCCCTAAAGAAATGCCACCCCACACCATTACTGACCCACTGCCAAACTGGTCATGCTGGAGGATGTTGCAGGCAGCAGAATGTTCTCCACGGCATCTCCAGACCCTGTCATGTCTGTCACATGCGCTCAGTGTAAACCTGCTTTCATCTGTGAAGAGCACAGGGCATCAGTGGTGAATTTGCCAATCTTGGTGTTCTCTGGCAAATGCCAAACGTCCTGCACGGTGTTGGGCTGTAAGCACAATCCCCACCTGTGGACATTGGGCCCTTATACCACCCTCATGGAGTTTGTTTCTGACCATTTGAGCAGCCACGTGCACATTTGTGGCCTGCTGGAGGTCATTTTGCAGTGACTAGCAGTGCTCTTCCTGTTCCTCCTTGCACAAAAGCAGAGGTAGCGGTCCTGATGCTGGGTTGTTGCCCTCCTACAGCTTCCTCCATGTCTCCTGATATACTGGCCTGTCTCCTGGTAGCGCCTCCATGCTCTGGACACTACGCTGACAGACACAGCAAACCTTCTTTCCACAACTCGCATTGATGTGCCATCCTGGATGAGCTGCACTACCTGAGCCACTTGCGTGGGTTGTAGACTCGTCTCATGCTACCACTAGAGTGAAAGCACCGCCAGCATTCAAAAGTGACCAAACCATCAGCCAGAAAGCATAGGAACTGAGAAGTGGTCTGTGGTCACCACCTGCAGAACCACTCCTTTATTGGGGATGTCTTGCTAACTGCCTATGCTTTCCACCTGTTGTCTATTCCATTTGCACAACAGCATGTGAAATTGATTGTCAATCAGTGTTGCTACCTAAGTGGACAGTTTGATTTCATAGAAGTGTGATTGACTTGGAGTTACATTGTGTTGTTTAAGTGTTCCCTTTATTTTTTTTGAGCAGTGTATTTACCCACATAAACAGTTCTAATTAATCTCTCCTAGATTGTTCTAATACAAGGGAATCCTCTCCATCCAAAGATATCATTTTTCATATTACATTAAAAAATCAGCTGCTATACTTGAATTTTAAAGAGGTACTGGTATTCACAGATGAAACACAATGTGATTTAGCTAGGCATGTCAAAGACACTATTATTGATTAACTTTAAACTAGAAAAGATGAGGATGCCAATGAAGACCATAATAACAATTATAGTAATAATAATTATTAATGCAACACTAGTAAGCCCAGAGAATGACATGTCTCTTCATAGATATTATGTTAACAGAAAGATAAATTCAAAGTATCACAAAAGAAGAAATTATAGGAAGGGACAGCAATCAGCATTCTGTCAGAGGAACCTAATTTATTTTGGAAAATTTTAAACAGAACTTGGGGATGATATTTGCCTAGAAGGAAAAAAAAGCCTCTAAAACGAGTTGTAAAACAGGATATTCTTTATTCTGGAAATGTTTTTAAGAATTGAAGTGGACAATAATTTAGTCTTTCAAAATACCTGCTAGTCAAGTAAGAAATATTTATGGTAGCATGTAAGCAGTGCTAATTTTTTTTAAAAGTATTAGTAGCATACTACTTTGGGGGTTGAAATCTAATCCTGAGGGAACCCATTTTGTTCCTTATTTTCTTTCTTAGAAGGGTAAGAAGATAATCTTTGTACTAGTACTGTGTGCTTCCAGTCTTTGTTTATCATGCCATTAATCATATATGTATATTATGCTATGGTAATTTGTTTAGATGATAGTTTGACATACATCAACCTGACTATGTGGACAGATTCAGAGTTGTATAGTCACACTTGCCCTATTTCTGCGTTGGGGTTGTCATTGATGGTGATGTGCTGGAAAAGGTGTATAGTGAAGCTGGAGGGCTCAGCCAAGCACTTTGCTTCTCATACATTACACATGCATAATATAGAACTTATTATCCAACGGTAGAGTTAGAACAGAGTCAATAGATGGATGGTAAGGATTGACTTGGGTTGGGAAAAATATCCAAGTTACTAGTTTTGGAGCAGTTTTTGTCAGTAGATGATCTTCCCCAATTAGCTTCCCCAAATGTTGCAATTTTTCTCTCTGAAATTATAAACCAAACAATCTTCTTATGAATGTATTTTACATTTATTGCAATAGCTGAGCTGCAGCAAAAAGGAATCTCCAAAAGGTATATGCAACATTTAAAAACTGAATACAAGAAATGTAGCTACAATCTAAAGAAGAAGCAATAGCATTAGTTGCTCAATAGTTTGTCAACCAGCTTAAAGTTCTGTATTCATCTGTGTTATGACCTGTCTCACTTGAAACACGGGTACCCAGGGGTGGGATTCTACTGGTTCATACCGGTTCTATAGAACTGGTTGTTAACATCACCGATAGTTCTTAGAACCGGTAAAATCGCCCCCTGGCTGGCCTTGCTCCTCTCCGCCACTCCTACGGGCCGAAAACTATTTTTTACTGCGCATGCGTGACATTTTTTGGCAATCCTTGCCTCATTCTGTCCCCCGCCGTCCCTCCCTTTGCTGGCCCCGCCCCTGCAACTCTCTGCTGCTCCTAAGCTCCAAAAACCAGCGATTTTTTACTGTGCATGCGTGATGTTTTTCACACATGGATGGCAAACCTTGCCTCATTCTCTCCACCGCCCACCCCTCCCTTCACTGGCCCCACCCCCACCACTCTCCTCCACTCCAAAAACCGGGTTTTGTTTACTGCGCATGTGTGGCTATCCTTGCCTCATTTTCCCCTGCCCACTCCACCCCACTTATAGCGCATGTGCGATACCTACAAAAATTTTCCCGCCTGGCGCCATTGCTCACAACAGCAGCACCCATAGCAGCAGCAGCAGCAGCAGCCATCCATCCATCCATCCATCCAGCCAGCCAGCCAGCCAGCCAGCTATCTATCTAGCCAGCCAGCCATCGCTGTCTGCCTTCTGATGCCCTGCTGGGGCAAGCCACAAGCCCCAGTCACCACTACCACTAACCGCCCTTGCCCGGCCAGCCTGCCTCCCAGGCCTGCCTGCCTGTCTTGCCTGGACTGCCTCCTGTGGCAGCTGCCATTAAAGAAGACACAAGCCCCAGCCACCGCTGCTGCTAGCCATCCTCACCTGCCTGGACTGCCTATCCCAGCCTCCAAAGACACGGATCAGTAAGTATGATCCATTCGCCTACCTGCCGCCACCAGCCCCCGTCGAGTGCCAACTCCCAGGACACCCACTGCCCTCACCAACGCTCCCTGCCTCACCTGCTGCCATCTTCCTTCAGCCTCCATTGTAGCTACCTTGCCTTCCCACCACTGATTGGTGAGTGAGGAGGCAAAGCAGTAAACCCCACTGCTGCTGGTCCCCTACCTGCTCCTGCTGCCACTGCCACCGCCATCCCCGGTCGGTACCGACTCCTGGGTCAGGATGGCCACCCAACGGCCGCCATCTTGGCTAGGCCAGCCGGCGGCCGCCATCTTGGCTAGGCCAGCTGACGGCCGCCATTTTGGCTAGGCCAGCCGGTGGCTGACAGTTTGTCTAGGCCAGCCGGCGGCCACCATCTTGGCTCGGCCAGCTGGTGGTGACCATCTTGGCTAGGCTGGCCGCCACCTTCCCTCACCTGCTGCAGCCCAAGGGTTGTTGCCTTCCTTGCCTTCCCACCACCAATTGGTGAGTGAGGAGGCAAAATAACAAGCCCCGCAGTCGCCTACCTTCGCCTGCTGCTTCCGCTTCTGCCAGCCCGTCTGAGTGCTGCCTCCTGGGCCAGCTGCCCTCACTGCAGCAAGCTTGAAAACTGAAGAGGACCCCGGCATAGCTGGCTAGCCAACTTGCCTGCCTCATTTTTGGTAAGATGCTTTTCTTATTTATGTATTTTATTGATTTTTTTAGTATCTGTTTTTGTTTTTATTAATCATAAAAACAAAACAGATACTAAATAATTAAATAAATAAATAAATAAAAAAGCAACTTACCAAAAATGAGGCAGAAAGGGGCTTCTCGCAGATGAACATAATATGTTTAGAGGGCAGAAATCGCCTTACAGTTTCCAATATTACAAACATCCTGACCATCAGTCTAATTGGCTTACTGTGCAAAAATGGGACCCTGTTCCTATAGTAAAGAAGTGGTTATGGGCACATCATCACACAGCTGATGATGCTCGTGTAAAACACAAGAAAGCTGTAACTTGGGACGATAATACAAAAGCAAATTGGGAGTACTTTAAATAAGTTTGATT